TAAAGCTCTTAATTGGTAGCCTTGTGTCAAGGAAGTAAGACAAATAAACCCCTTGTTTTTCAAGCACTGCAAGGTCCCATTCGACTTGTAGCGTACACACAATCCTGAGGGAGGGACAAGTCCTCCAATAATTGAAGGTAAAACTGGCCTTCATTTTTCAATGCGAAGTCAGATCCTATAAATAAAACAGTTTGCGAAACTTGATATCTTTTACTTTTCCTTTCTCAAGTGGCCTTTCCTCACCATCCATAGGACCATGGTGTCCACTGACTACCTGCAAGTTCATGTAGGCATAAAGTCTACGTGTTCATTTTAAAAGAGTCCCTTGCTGAGTTTCAGTTGGAATTCTTTACATTCTATGGAACCACTCTCCAGGTGAGCTGTGAGGTTGTCAGAGGTTAGGATGTGTCCTATCCTCGCTTATAAAAACTTCTCTCCAAGACATAATCCAACTCTCCTCATCCTTCCTTACAGACTCGAGCAATGCCAAGACTAGAATTTTGCTTTTCTTTGTTTTTTTAAAGATTGGCACCTGAGCTAACATCTGTTGCCAATCTTCTTTTTTCTTCTTCTTCTCCCCAAAGCCCCCAGTACATCGCTGTGTACTCTAGTTGTAGGTCCTTCTGGCTCTGCTGTGTGGGACACCACCTCAGCATGGCTTGATGAGCAGTGCTAGGTCTGCACCCAGGATCCAAACGAGCAAAACCCTGGGCCGTAAAAGCACAATGTATGAACTTAACCACTTGGCCACGAGGCCAGCCCCAAATTTCACTTCTCTAACGTCAAGTCTGATGTAGGGAAAGATTGTTTAATCTTCAAGTACAGTGATTCCTTAACTAGTGGACATTTTAGATGAAAATTACTTGCCAAAATTTTGGAGACCAATGTTCCAGCTGAATTGAGATTTAAAAGTAGTATATTTAAAACAAAAAACAAAAGTAAAAATGAAAGAGAACTTCACTATATATTCCCATCAACTTCCAAAATTCAAGAACATCATACCCACTAGCTTGGGTAATACTGAAGAAAAAACAGAAAATAACGAGTGTTGACGAGGTTGTGGAAATATTGGAACATTTGCATTGCTGATAGGAATTTATAAAATAGTGCAACCACTGTAGCAAACAGTGTAACAATTCTTAAAAAAATTAAACACAGAATTACCATATGATCCAGCAACTCCACTTCTGCGTACATGCCTGAAGGAAGTGAAAGCAAGGATTCAAATAGATATTAGCACACCAATGTTCATAGCAGCATTATTTGCAGTAGCCAAAAGGTGGTAAAACCCATCCAATCAATGGATAAATGGATAAAGAAAATGTGATATATACACCTATATATAAAATGGCATATTATTCAAGCTTAAAAAGAATGAAACTCTGACACATGGTACAAAATGGATGAACCTTGAAGACCCTATGGTAAGTGAAATAAACCAGACACTAAGGACAAATACTATGTGATTCCACTTCTATGAGGCACCTAGAGTAGTGAAATTCATACAGGCTGAAAATAGAATGGTGATTTCCAGGGGCTACGGTGGGGGAGGGAATTGGGAATTAGTGTTTAATGGATGCAGGGTTTCAATTTGGGAAGATGAAAAAGATCTGGAGATGGATACTGGTGAGATAGCACAACAAGGTGAATGTAGTAAATGCCACTAAAATGTAGACTTAAAAATCCTAAGTTTTATGTTATACATATATATGTATTAGGACAATAATAAAATTAAAGAACACTTCAAATTAAAATTTGTAAAAGATAATCTTCAAATCAAAATGAGTTCCACTCAAGAAAGGAGAATTGGTTAACCATAATTTCAAATGCAGAAAATTAAATTATAGTATTTTAATAGCATGCACCCTATTTCCTCAGGAGGAAAGTAATACTGATGCAAATGTTTTAATATGTACTGCGTATGAAAGGTAAACCTCAAGGGCATTGTTCTATATAATACGGGTAGAAGAATCTGAGGTTCTAGGAAGTCTTGGGAGGGGATCTAACGATTCAGGCTGGCAGAGAAATGGTGAAAACCTGTGTTCTTCATCATATATTCAGTGTAGCACTTTCCAAATCTTCATCAGACTCTACTGAACTCACCAACACTTGATGTGCAGGATTTTGTTGAGGAAATCAAAGAAGGTCTTAGCTTCATGGCCAGGTGATGTGACAGGGTTAGACAAGACCTAGAGAATACAAACATCCTTGAGAATGGTCAGAAATCTCTAGAAGGGCTTTGGATTCCCATAGCTTTGGGAACTTATAAGTTCTAGGAAATTTCACCTAATTTTTAAAGAAGACAGAGCTTCATAGATCTTATCTGGATTCTAAACTTAACAGCTGAAATCTCATTTTTATGAAAACAGGAAAAAAATCTCCTAATAATAGGAATCATTATTTTAGGAAAATAATCATACATATTAGTTCCAATTGGACAAAAACTTTAGTGTTTACATGAAGCATTGGCTTCTCTTAGAGAATTGGATAACATGAATCTTCTTCCTCATAATAAAACACTTGGAAATATTGATGTAACATTGCTAGGTATACTACCGTGAAGATCTCCAGTAAATTGACCCTTTGCATTCTTATGGGTTAAATACCTTCTACATTCTTGTGTACATTGCACATCTTCACATAGTATATTTAACATGCTTGTTTTAAATTCTTGGTTCATCTGCTTCAACAATTCACTTTCTGGGGACATCTATTGTCCAGCTGGTTATCTTTCTTTTGGAGTCTTTTAGCGGTATCAGTTACCTGCTATTGATTTCTGCAATAATATTGCAGGTAAATTGTCTCAAAGCAACGAAGGAGTCGGGTAACAGCAGAGGTGAAATGATTTCGACTATCATGTTTTCTCACGGCAGTCTTCGGCTCACCTCTCATCTTACTCATATTCTAGTCCAAAATAGCTTCAATCTTTCTAGAATATTCTCCTGGTTTTTGGTTGGTCTCTAGTACTCATATTTGCTTCTTGCCCTTTCAGGCTCCCCTGAGGAGGAGCCAGGAGGTGATGCCAGTTTGCAATTTTAGAAGGATCCAGAAGCCATTGATCTCATATCTCACACATCTTTATAATATCAGCTGAGCTCCTCTTGTCTGAAATAAGATGACTATTTGTCATGGGGTCTCAGGAAACTCTAAAGCAAGCTTAGATACTGTGTTTGTTTTTTTATGGTTAAGGAATGATGGGAAATCCAGCAAATTTATCTACTTGAATTCAAAAAGTGCCAGGTATTCCCTTTAAAACAGAGAAATATACTTTCCCTAGTGTGATTAATACTTATTGCTTACATTTCTACGATTTTGTGTAGAAATCCTCCTTATCTACCATCAGAGACTCCATAAGACTCATCAGCTGCTGTTATAAAATATTTTAGTAAGTTATGATACACAAAATTCATAAAAAGTATTCATTTATGGAACATTGCCATCTGACTTAAGATAATTTCATCTGGTTTATGTCCATGGAGATTCACTCAGGGTGGAATTTTTCTCCTTTGTGTGGCATCTTATAAGAGGTGCTGGTCACTGACCACAGCTCATTGGCACAACAACTAGTGACTGTCAATGTCAGATGCAGCTGGATCAGGGGTCTCTTCTCAGTGACGCTTAATGGAGTTGTTTGCCTTTGGACTTGGAAAGTCAAGAAATAGATTACATTAGAATATCTATATAATGCACTATCTAAAATTTAATAACAATTAAATCAAATGTAAACATTTAAAGAAATTTGGATTGGAAGTGAACTAAGTCAGAAGAAGCAAATGGAAGATACTGGTTCTGGAACTGACCCCTTCTCACATTCTATTTTCCCAAGTCTGTCTGTTTATTTTGTTATCCTACATTAATCCAAAATGGTTTCTCCTTCCTAGTATCATAAGGGTAGAGAGTTAGAATATTTTTTTTCAACTTGGGCATCGAAGAAAAACTTAGAGAAATATGGTCATTTATCTATACATGTTTAATTATATATGGGGAAATGTGCACTATGCTATCAATGAACATAAGGAAAATTAAAATTTCTCAAAGAGAGAGGATAAAGATACAAATTCTCCAGTGGTAGGGGAACAGTGAGTATTATTTTCTTTATTTTAGGGTAAGCTGATTAGGGGGCACCTTGCACAGAGGCCTGTCTGAATGGTCTGCCTTGAGCAAGCTGTCTGGGGCCATCAAAAAGGGCGCCCCCAAGTGACGTAGTGGTTGATTTCACACACTCTGCTTCAGCGGCCCAGGGTTCACCAATTTGGATCCTGGGCATGGACCTACACACTGCTCATCAAGCCATGATGTGGCAGCATCCCACACAGAAGAACTAGAAGAAATTACAACTAGGATATATAACTGTACTGGGGCTTTGTGGAGGAAAAAAATAGGAAGTTTCACAACAAATGCTAGCTCAGGACCAATCTTCCTCACCAAAAAAAGCATAACTTAAAAAAAAAAAGAAACTACTTCAGTTAATTATTAATCATCCACAAGTACTTGGGAATTCATCTGCAGGAAGAAAGACAGGCTGTCTCTATGTAATCTTTGCTACACTTCTTCTTTAGCAACCCACCTAACCTTAGGCTTGCTCTATTTTTGCCCTGCTCGCCCAGGTTTGCCCTATTTCCTTCATCAGAATTTTCTCCAAGGCAAAATATTTCCTTCATGACCACCTTTTGTCCTTACAATGCAAAATCCTAAATGAGCTAGAGTTGGGGTTGTGTGTGTGTGTGTTTTGTCCCTTTAGGAAACAAAACAAAACAAAACAACAGGGCAATAGGCACTAGTGAAATAGGTCCTAATTTAAACACGTCTCAGGACCCTTGCTTCATGACAAAGACAAAATCTTGGTTACCACCCAAAAGGACACACGGGGGCACTGTGGAACTGTTTAGCTCCAAAAGTTTCTGGGGCAGAGCCAGCTGTCTGGGACCAGGAGGGTTAAGAAGCCTTGTCTGATGTTTTGATCCCCTGGAAGGCTTACTACTATAGACATTAATTTGCAGGTGTCTGTCTTGACCTGGAGCCACGAACTTCAACTATGCAGTGGTGAGGGTGTCTCTCTGAGCTTGCAAGGGAAAGTGAAGGGTGTGGAGCTGAGAGGAGGCAGCCTGCATGCCCCAGGCAGAGACAGGGAGAGGGACACCTGCCTCAAAGGAAAAGCAAGAGAGTTGTGGGGATGGGCATGATGCCTAACCCAGCCTAGCCTAGACCAGCCCAGTCCAGCCCCACATGTCATGGAAGAGGCTTTGCAGGACAAAGCAGGTTTCCTGAATCAGATGAGTCAGGGAACTGGCAAAGGAGGCCTGGCTCATGGGAACCAGCAGAGACAATGACATCAGAGCCATGACATCAGAGCCATGACATCATCACCTAACCTCCAAATCAGAGAAGGGATACCCTGGACTTCATCTCTTAGGAGACCAGAACTCTCAGCAGGGGGGAGACCTGCCCAGTTCTGCTCCACCCTGCCATGGCCTCCAGGCTCCTGTGCTGTGTGGCCCTTTGTGTCCTGGGAACAGGTAAGTCCTTGGTACGGGTGGGAGATCTCTGTTCTAAGCTTGACAGCGCCTGAATCCAAGGCACATTTGGGCTGCCTCCTGTGTTGCTGATCCAGCCCCTGTCTTCTTCCCTCACAGGCCCAGTGGATTCTGGAGTCACCCAAACACCAAGACACCTGATTAAAGCAAGAGGACAGCAAGTGACAATGAGATGTTCCCCTATCTCTGGGCACAAAAGTGTATTTTGGTACCAACAGCCACTGGGCCAGGGCCCCCAGTTCCTCGTTCAGTATTACAATGAGAAAGAGAATGAGAAAGCAGACACCGCGAATCGATTCTTAGGGAAGCAGTTCAGTAACTATAGCTCTGAGCTGAATGTGAGCTTCCTGGAGCTGACGGACTCGGCCCTGTATCTCTGTGCCAGCAGCGTAGCACAGCCCTGCAGAGTCACCAGCGTTCTGTGCACAAACCTCCTCGCCCCAGCGTGGAGCAACCTCAGAGCTGATGGATTTGTGAGGACTTCGGGGCTGCAGCGGGAGAGAAAAACGAGTTAGGGCCCTGGAAAGTACAGCGTCGGGCTCTTCTGCCACTCAGGGACATGGGACAACAGAGGACAGGAAGGTCTGTTCGGAGGATGGTGCTGCGTAAATAGGTTCACTACAAAATCACCTTCTTTGCCTGGCGCTCTATGCTACAGGGTATGGGAGAGTGTGTAATTTACAGCTGACACCCTCTTTTTCCAGGAGGAAGAGTGTTTGGAGGGATGGAAATTGTTTGATAAAGATGTAGTCTAGATGATAGAATCACAAGGATTTGTTTTATACAATTTAGAATCAAGAAACTGAGATTATGGGAGAGTTTAGGAGAACAGATATAATTGAAGATGGTTGAAAATAGAGATAGAGCTAAAAATTATATTTAAAAAACTATGTTATTTGTAACATGATCTCTTTGTTCCCCAACCTCCCAAAGTCAATACCCAGAAAACACAAAGCAGGGCCTTACAGCACCTAGCATCACCCAGCGGCCGCTCCCACGTGAGGACATCACCACCCACATGATGTGATGATGGTGTGAGAACCCTGGAGCTGATTCTGACTCCTTCCTTCTTGACTTCTTGTCCCCAATCTTGCCTCCTTGGGCACAGTGAAGTACCTCCCTAAACACAGATGCGGGCATGCCTTCCCTGATTTTAAGCAGGCAGAGGCTCTCCAACTTCCCCAAGATGAATTCTACTTCCCTGGAACAGCTTTCTAACCCTTCACCCCGCAGAATCTGTCTTCTTCAGAGCATCGCTTCTTGACGGTCTCGGGATGCATCTTACTCTGTGACCAAACATCTCTTCGCCACATTTCCTACGACACTGATAAATTTAAATCCTCTGGGTCTGCTCTTGATCCTCCCATGGCCTAGAAATTTCTTCCCTTCACCCCAAACATGGCCAGACACTATTGATCTTTCAAGGACTGGCTCAGCCGTGCCTTCCTCTTTGCTTCTCACCCTGACATTCCACAGCGCTATCCTATTGATTAGTCTGCTCAGACTGAAGTAACAAAATACTTCAGGCTACGTGACTTAAACAACAGATATTTATTTTCTCACAGTTTTGGAAGGTAAAAATCCAAGATCAAGGTGCTATGATTGGTTTCTGGTGAAAACTCTATTCCTGGTTTTCAGACAATCTCCATCTGGCTGTGTCCTCTAATGTTCTCTCCTCTGTGTTCCATCAGAGAGAGAAAGAGATCTCTGGTGTTGCTTCCTCTCCCCCATAAGGAGACCAGTCATGTAGGACTAGAGTCCCACCCTTATTACATCATTTAACCTGAACTGCCTCCTAATAGGCCCTACCTTTACATACAGCCACACTAGAGGTAAGGACTCCAACATATGAATTTTGGGGGACACAATTCCACCCATAACTATATTGCTCTCTTTGCTTTACTTTCACAGGAAAAGTCAAGTATATAATTTTCACTCCGTGACACATGTGAAATCAATAAATTAATGCCCACTGATACAGAGCCATGGAGTATTGTTATTCACTAGTTTTCCGTCACAATAATCTCCTCGTACCTGAAATATAATGGGTAGTCATTGTGGGTAGTCTTGGCTTTCCATCCAACTTCTGCAGTGTTCTGTGCAATCGTGTTCTCATAGCCAGGACTGAGGACAGCCCTGTAAAGGACCCTAATTGTATCTAAAGCTGAAATATGCTGATGCTTTTTGGAACAGAGAATGTCATGCTACAGTAATCTTCATCCACACATGATCCTGTAATGAATTTTCCATCACCAGCCACCACCACATTTTTAGAAACATCTCTTGTCATCATCAAGGATGATTCTAAGAAAAGAATCTGAAAAACTAATCGAGAAAAATTGCCATGTTTGGTAATAAAACCTGGAAATCCTCGTTAATTAAAGAATAACGATGTGTGTGTGTGTGTGTGTATGCATATGTGTTTTCTTGTAAAGACACATGAAATGGAAATAGTTTCTCTCTGGGTGGGATTTACTAGAATCATTGGGTCACTGAGCAGAACTCATAGGTCATTCTGGGAAGTGATAGTAAATGTCAGGTCCAAGTGGATCAACCTTAACTATGGCTGCAGGGTTGTTTATTTCAATATTTTATAAATTCAGAAATTAATGTGTAATATTTATAAACCCTCTTTATAAAATGCACTATCTAAAAATTGGTAATAATTAATTTAAATACAAAATCTGGAAAGTTCCAGATCTGATTAATCAGGAGAAACTATGGAATAAAGTGTTTCCAGGCTGGATCAACCTGAGATCATCAGACTGTTTATTTTTGTGGTCTGTATGATTTGGGTTGCTTTCTCTATTTTAGCATAGTAATTGCAATTGTGCAGCAATTATTTCCTTTTCCATCAAAATGTTGGTTCAAACAATCTTTTTCTCTGCAGGTTCAGTGTGGAGATGAAGATCAGCCCTAAATCAGCCAGGCTGGGAGAACAGTGGATATGGAGAGAGTGGGGTAGGGTGAGAGGGCTGCAGGGGTAGGGGTTGGGGGGAATTTCTTGATTTAGACAGAAGTGAGAATCCACGAGACTGTGGACATTCAGCCACGAGGAGGAACTGTGGACTCACAGTCCCTACTGCAAGGCACCCTGGGAGGATTGAGAGAGTGGCTCAGGAGGGGACAGTTAAGGGAATTCTTGGTCATGCCTGCATCAGGCAGGGGGTTTGAGTTCACTGGGTTCACTGGTCCTGGGACATGTGGAGCTAACAGGCTCCTCACTGCCCAGGGAAGCGGAGACCCGCCTTGAACCTCAGTGGGCACCAAGGGGGCTGTCTCCTGGAGCCTGAACAGGAAGTGGAGGGTGAAGGGGTTGGGGCAGAAAGGTCTGAGTAATTGGTGTCAGGCAGGGGCATGCCGGCAGAGGGAAATCAGGCATGTTGTGGGCTATGGGGATGGCGCTCAGTTCACACTCACCCTTTGTTGAGGGGCTGTGCAGAACAGGATGGCACCTAGAGTAGCCGACCCTGGGTCCTGTTAAGGTGGACAGTGGGCAGGGGGCATCTGCAGAGAGAGTAACAGCAGAGCAGCGTCGTCATAGGCAAATGCTCCTATCAGGGAAACGGGAGGTTCACAACTGTAGACCAGTCACCCCAGGAGCCCCCGCCCCTGAGCTGGGAGACTTCTTAGTTCCTGATGCTGCCACGGGCTCCAACCTCCTTTGCTGTGTGGCTCTTTGTCTCCTGGGAGAAGGTGAGTCCTGGGCATAGGGTGAAAGCCTCGGCTGTGGGTTTGCCATGCCCGAAAGCGGAGTCCGCCAATGACGGCTGCAGTGGGAGGCTGTCCCTGTGCTCGGCCCTCGGATACTTTCTTTTTCCTCTCGACAGGCCCGGTGGATTCTGGAGTCATCCAAACCCCAAGACATCTGATCAAAGCAAAATGACAGCAACTGATGCTGAAATGTTCCCCGTCTGTACACATCTCTCTGTGTACTGGTACCAACAGGCCCTGGGCCAGGGCCCTCAGTTCCTCATTCAGCATTACAGTGGGGAAGAGAGAAAAAGGAGACATCCCAGATCGATTCTCAGGGCAACAGTTCAGTGACTATAACTCTGAGCTGAATGTGAGTGTTTGTACCTCTCGGCCCTGTACCTCTGTGCCAGCAGCTTGGCACGACCCTGCATGATCAGCAGCCTACAGCACTAAAACATCCCTGCCCCAGTTGAGGAAGTGACATTAAGGGTGGTGGCTGCCACCCAGACAGGCTCAGGCCCTCATATATATCAGACAGGCCTTTCCCAGACACTCGTCCTGCTACTTATGAGTGTGATGTGTTTTATGCTCACAGAAATCATTGAAAATAAGTATTATTTTAGGGGCTGGCCCCGTGACCGAGTGGTTAAATTCTTGCGCTCGGCTGCAGACGGCCCAGTGTTTCGTTGGTTCGAATCCTGGGTGCGGACATGGCACTGCTCATCAAACCACGCTGAGACAGCGTCCCACATGCCACAACTAGAAGGACCCACAACGAAGAATATACAACTATGTACTGGGGGGCTTTGGGGAGAAAAAGGAAAAAATAAAATCTTAAAAAAATATATATTAAAAAAAGGAAAAAAAAGTATTATTTTACCTGTTTATATATGCAAGGGGAAGTAACTTTCCCAGGTCTTATATTTCATAACCGGCAGAACAAGGAGTCAAATTCAAGTCTGTTTGTCAACATCTGTGGTGCCCCCATCACCAGAATGTCCACTCATCTGGCTTCCGGTTTCTAGGTCCAGATTAGCAGGACTGGGATGGTCATGCATCGTATGTGATTATTATTGCACTATACTGACATTCAAAGACAGTATGACTTCAAGGCAAAGCATATCCATTGATCCTTCATTGTGAGAAAAAGGAAAGACACCATTTCTGCACTGTGGCTGCGCCGTGGATCTCAGTCATGCCTGATCTTTCAAGGGGGCTGTGTGAGTAGGGAGATTTCCAGATCTGCCTTCCCAGCTGCACAGCAAAGGGAGTGGGATATTTGCAAGGAACAGTGTGTCTTCCTGTACACGATACAATTACCTTGAGGGGAAGGCACACACGCGGTCATTATTTCTTCCCTAGTTTCTTTTACTCAACAAACATTCTTGGCCTCTTAGATTGTGCAAGGTATTGTATCACATAAAATAGAAAATGAAAATAAGTATGTTTCTTCTCTTTGGGAGTTTTGAGGTCTGTATTATTGTAATACTTACCTTAAATGTTTGACTATTTCTATGGAAACCTCCTGTCACATGAGTACAGGTCCATTGCAGAAGTGCAAGCAGTGAGTACCTTAATGCACAAACACTGTTCAGTTCTGCTCCAGGTAGCAGACTCAGAAAAAAAATCACTCTATCATCTATTGACAATTTACTATATGGCAAATAAAATTCCTTCATTTTAAAAATTTCTATTAATGATCAGACAAAAACTTAAGAGGCAAATGCAATCACTGTTCTAATTTTAAAGATGAGGAATTTGCCCTTGAGTGAAATAACCTGACCAAATCAAACACCTGTTAGGGCGATGCGGCAGTGGGACTCAAACCCTGCTCTGCCTCCCTCTTACATCCCATGTTTATAACTCTGCGCCAGAATGCATTTACATAGAGATATATTTCTTCAAAATCAGGATGCTGCCCCCTATGTCCCTTTCAGACACGCTGGCCCTAATGAAATCATTGACAAGTGTCAGTTTACCCAGGAGAGAGTGTGCAGAGAAAGAGCCCTGAGCAGGCGCCATGTTCACCTGGCTCCGGTGCCAATTCCAGCACCTGCTGCCAGTCAAGACCTGAGGCCAGTTTCTTGACATGTGAGGCTGAGTTTTTTCATGCATAAAATGAGACTAATAATATGTCTCTGTATTAGTCACTGTTCTCCAGGGAAATATACGATATATATACACACATATATATACATACATACATATATATTCTATTTATTATAAGGAGTTAGCTCACACAATTGTGAGGCTGATTAGTCCAAAATCTGCAAGCTGGGCTGGTGGTGCTGGAGACGCAGGGAGAGCCCTTGTTTAAGTCTGAAGGCTCTTAGGCAGGAAGAGCTGATGTTGCAGCTGAAGGCCACCAGCTGGACAAGTCTCTCTCACCTGGGGGAGGATCGGTCTTTTCATGCTATTCATGTCTTCAGCTGATTGGGTGAGGTCTACTGACATTATGGAAGGCAGAATGCTTTACTCTACTGATTAAAATGCTAATCTAATATTAAAATCTGTGTATTGAAATGTTAATCTCACCCAAAAACATCCTCTCAAGAGCACCCAGAATATATTTAACCAAATATCTGTGCACCCCATGGCCCAGTGCCGTTGACATATTAAATAACCATCATATCATCTTCCATGGTTGTATAAAAATTTAATAAGCATAAAGTACCTAGTACATAATAGGAGCGTATCTTGATTCGATTTGCTCATCTCTGACAGCCTTTTCTACCATTTCTTATGTACAAAGTAAGACCCAGACTCATTTTGCATGAAACCCTATATCGAAGATTTCAGATGTCACAGAAATAAAAATATTTATGTCTTATGAGTCATTACATGAAATTACCTGGAGCATGTAACATACATCCCTCCTGAGACATTTTTAATCAACTTTATCGACATGTGAATTACGCTCAAAATACATTACACAATTTAGAACAGAAAAATAATTTTTAAGCAATTTATGTGTTTATATATACCCATGTAACACCCATCCCATGAAGACATATAACACATTTCCGTCACCCAGAAGCTTCCCTCAGGCCCCTTGGCACTGGTCTCTCAATTGCTGACAACCAATGATGTGATTTCTATCACTACAGATTAGTTTTGCTGAGGCAGCTTTTTAATGGGAATTTAAAATCTCTACCCGCTAAAACAGTTCCTCTTCAGTACAAAGCTAACTGCTTAAGAGCATTACGTGCTCCTGGAAAGTGTTATGGTTAAAGTCCTTGAAAGCATGTGAGATCCCTGACTAACATTAGGGGCAATTCTATCTGGAGATAGATGGTGTGATAAAATGATCATCAAAAGATCTTTCTGGCTGGTTGAAGCTGCTTTTATGAAATTTGCTTACTCATTTTCATTCATTTCTTATGCACCCGTTAATTCAAATTATGTTATAATGATATTTTGACAGACATTCATCATCTCCAAGGAAATTATTCTGAGTTCCCATCAGACACACGCAGAGCCAGGCTTCATGTGCACACACTGCGTGCAGGGGCTGAGCAGACCACAGGCCGTAGTGACTTTATCGAGAGATACTCCACATTAGGAGAAGGGTTTCCTTTGCCTGGACCCCAAGTGTCCATCCCACAAAACATGAGCCTTGAGCTGGAAAATATCCCTTTGTCTTCCAGCCTTGCCTGGGCACAAGTCTCCAGTTTTGTGTGTCTTTTTGTCCCCTGGACCAGAGAAGTCCAGGCACAGACCTGGAACCCACTCATGGGCTAGCCAGACCCCAGCTTCAAGGCTTGTTGTTGTGCTTACATCAGGTTCCTCCTTTGGTTCTGAACTTAGTTTTTGTGTCCTTCCCTCTGATGCTGAGAGATGCTGAATCATCCAGATCCCAGACATGAGGTTCTGCTAAAGGGAAAGCAGCATACCGGAGGTGACCACAGGTCCAAAACCATGTACTCAGGCCCAGCTACGCATATTTGCAGAGCCCATGGTTCAAATATTATTGAGAATATGAAGATCATGACAGCAGAGCATTGAGCCAAGTACAGGGTCCTTCTAAAGTGGGGGATTGCGTGCAACAAGATACAGCTTATGAGCTCCATGATATTTATTACTTAATTAACAGCAGCCATTCTTCGCAAGGAGATATTCCCCAGGGAATGGATGTCTCAAATAAAGAACAGAGCACTGTTCACTTACCCTGGAGTCTGTCACATCTCCCCAGTCCCTGACGTGTCTGTACTCCTTTGTGCCAGGGGGTCATCTGAAACACTCAGCAGCCATCAGCTTGCCACAGAGAAAGGTCAGTCACAGGTGTGTGGTTGCTCTGCTTCCTGACGTCTCTCCCCAAACCAGGGAAGCAAATGCTCCAGCGAATATGAAGGTGCTCTAGCTACAGTTGGCAGGTGTCCCATCTGTCATGAATTGATAAGAAACAGAGCAAACAATTCCTCAAATGCTGATGAGTCTGCCCCTGAGGTCTGGCAACCAGATACCAGGAGAATCATTGTAGGTGGAAGGACCTCAACAGGATGCTGGTCAGTAAGGAAAGTAGAAACAGATACTTGAAAGAGTATTTGGGCTGGTAGAGTCAGAAAGGGCATCAGAAAGCCATAGGACCCTCCCTAGATTCAAAACTACAGAAATATGGAGATACATAAAACCAGCGTATTAATGACGAACTATATCACAGGGATAAATATACGTAAAGTGACAAATCGTTTTCCATAAAGGTTAATAATGACTTTCAATGCTTATGTCAATTCAGAGAAATGCATGCTTCCCATTCTAAGCTGTTCCTTGTGCATTTATTTTTGATTGGACCTTCTAGGGGAAGGGGCATGGCCCCTTGACAGGTTGGCTCTGGGCCCAGGCAGGGAGAGTGACATCTCAGAATGACTCCCTGGAGAGCTCTATTCCTTTTCATCAGCACAGGGACCCAGAAGACTCCTCCATCTGCCCTGCTCCTGCCATGAGCGGTGGCCTCCTGTGCTGGGCGGCATTTTGTCTCCTGCAGGCAGGTGAGTCCCGGGCAGGGATTTTCAAGAGTGAAAATTTCAAGGTCCCACTACTAAGCCTTTCTGTTGTGTGGGCAGCATCGGCTTCATCTCCTTCTCCATAGGTGCAGTGAATGCTGGTGTCACTCAGACACCAAAATTCCACATCCTGGAGACAGGACAGAACACGACACTGATATGTGCCCAGGATATGAACCATGACTACATGTACTGGTATCGACAAGACCTGGGACATGGGCTGAGGCTGATACACTACTCACGTACTTCTGGTGTCACTGAAGCGAGAGATATTCCCGATGGGTACAGAGTCTCCAGATCAAATACAGAGAACTTCCTCCTCACGCTGGTGTCCCCTACCCCCTCCAAGACATCTGTGTACTTCTGTGCCAGCAGTTACTCCACAGCTCTGCACGGCTGACTCCTCTCTGCACAAAAAGACAGGGGCAGTTCCTGCGCCCTGGGACTCTTCTGAGGACTTTCCAGAGTCCTAGCTCCAGATGCCTTGGAACCCAAGTCACCCGTGTGTGCAGAGTGAACCGGGAGTGTGCTGAGGTCCACCTCCAGGGCAGTCTCAGTCAGGCCTGGCCCTGACCGCAAGGTATTGGGCAGACATGTCTCCACCTTGCACCCTGTCTTTCCTCTGTAGCTGCCTCATTAGCTGGGAAGGTGCTTCCCCAGCCTGATGTTTTTAGTCATGGGCCTGAGTCCCAAGCCTCCAGAATGGAAAGTCAGTGGGAAGTAGATACATCTAGACCCTTCATCTCTCCCTGGGCACCTCATTGCTGTCTCTCTCTAAAGTACCCCCTTAGCCCTGGCCCTCATATGGTCTCTGCTCCAGCCCATCTTTCCCATCCAGGGCAGTCACCCCATAGGCTCTACCAAGTCTTTCCTCTTCCTACCTCCTGGGCCCCAGCTTGCACAGATGGCCCTGCCCTCTCTACTTCAGCCAGTCGTCTCTTCCCTCCTCTGTGTCACATCCCTTCCCATCTCCGAGACTTCAAATGCTATTTCCTCTACACTAGATGTGGACCCTTCCTCTTTGTAGTGACTAAACCCTACTCACACTCCAAATCAAGGTCCCACTGGGTGGACGGATACTTCTGGGTGAACCTGTTTCCCAGGGGAATTGTAGGCACAGTTTGGATGTCTCTGTTCTGTATTTTCCAGGTGTCAGCTACAAACGTCTCTCTCATGACTGTGGATACCATCTCCTTCCTTCTCAGAGGCAGAGCTCTGTCTCCTGCTTCTCTCTCCCTCATGAGCCTCTGTGATGCTGGAGTTGCAGGGATCCTAGGACACCTGGTCAGAGTGAGGAGACCAATGGAGACAGGGGATGCAATCTCATCTCTATAAACCTCCCTTGATCCAGCTCTGTTGTACCTGAAGGCAGGCACTCTGGTCTCCTTTTGGGCTCCACAGTCAGAGAAATGTTCCTCATAGAGTCATAGCTGATCAGCTCGGAGATCTGATGACAAACCAAAGTTAAATCCTCAGAGCTGAGGGAATAGCCGTGCATTTGTACAATGGCAGCAAGAATATACTGTTGTAGAGATGCCTTCTTCCTATGTACAGACTTGGCGCCAAAACAGGAAAGAGCAGAGAGGGCTGAAGAGACCCAAACACGTGTGAGATGATTGAAAGATAATTTCTCAGGACAATCTTTCCCTCCACTGACCACAATCAGTTCCTAGTAAGCCTGTCTGACCACTCTCCTCACCCAATCAGCTGAATACCCAGGATTTCACACGTCCCAGCATCTTCTCACAACAGGGCAAATAATTCAGATACCAGCTTCCTTCCTGCAGCACAGTGACGGCCCTCTGGAAACTTGGTCTCTTCAGGAAAGAGCTCTGTCTTCTCCTGGCCAGGTCTGGCCTGGTGGGCTTAATTTCTGATTAATGTACCTTCTTAATCTGCTAAAATAGGAACACATGACTTCAAAGTAAAGCATATTCATTTTACTTTGAGAAATTCATCACTAAGTAGTAAACTGAATATTTTTGCTGCGTAATAGTCTTAAATTGACCAATTGTAGAACAAATCTTTGAGGCAAGGACTTGGGGTCCTCGTGGTTTTCACATTTCAGTTCCCAGTTCCTGAGGATGTACGAGAGTCAGTTAGTCCCCCTGTGTCTGAGACGGTCTGCTGTGAGTTTATAAAGAAGGTTCCCGTGTTGAACAAGCTCAGGCACATTTGTTTGTGAAAGCCGTGTTGTCAGTGGTGTGGGAACTCCCAACTTAAAAATGGGCATGCTCTTTAACCTAAGTATAAGATCTACAATGTAATCCTGATATCTAGGATAATTCTTGAAGTTTGGGGTTGGGCAAAAAAGGAAAGAAGAAGCAATGTCTGTAGATTTAGGATATTCTATAAATAAATAAATAAGTAAATAAACAAATAAAATCCCAGTGGAAGAACAGGAGGCAAATACCATGACTACATGGCCTTATGGCCTCTAATTTCTGGATAGAGTGTAATTTAAAAAAAAAACAGAAAGTGAGAATTGTATTCTGGAGCTAACACTGGGGCTGTCCTGAGCGTTTTTCTGATACTATGAACCTAAGGATACCAGTTTATTCCGCAGCCCAGAGTATAGCTGACAGTTCTTGGTCTCATGCGTTTAGGAGTTAGATTGGAGATGCTCACAAAAAGCAGTGTTTCTTGGGCAAGAGCAAAGACACAGAGCTGCAGAACGTCCTCCTTCCTAACCCCATAGCCTTACTCCCAACCACTCAGTCTTCTCTGATTCTGCTCCCACTCTCTGTAGTTACAAACTACTGTTGATTGATTAATAGAAGTGACCAGACTTTAACGTCTGTAGAACAATTAGAATATGTGATAGCAGTGAAAGGGAGAGATAAATTACCTATAACACAGTTTCGTAGGTTTCCAGAAGGATAGTTAAATTTATTATTGTACATTATACAGCAGTGTTTTAAAGGTCAATGAAGCTGTGTCTTCTCCCATAAATAAGCTGTAAGGAATTTATTTTTTAATACATGGTGACTTACAATGATAGGAGGCTTTGCTCTGGGCTGTGGAGACACAAAACTGCACAGAGATTAATGAATACAGAGAGGGCAATCTGTCTTTGACCTGAAGAAGGAATAGGAATTTCCAACTCAATATGTTTCCAGGGCATCATTTCACCTCTTACATCTCTAAATATGTCAGTACATCCTAGAGCAAAGCCACATCATGCCAAAATTCCCACCCATGCCTAAGAAATGAATCATGTTGAGCATGTGTGACTAGGAGGATGGAGGGGATGGTGGCAGAAATAGGGATGCTCACAGGAGATCCTGACTTCCAGAGAAGACAATGAATTCACCTTTGGTATCTTGTATTGGAGGTGCTGTTGACACATGCTAGTGAAAATGTCCAGCAGACAGAGGAATGATGGGTGGATGAGAAGATAAACTTAGAGATGCAATGTGAGAAGGTGACAGCCCTGGAGCCAAAAGTGCTGACTTGTGCATTGATTTTGTTAAAAAATGAGTTTATCAATATTGAAATTAGCCAGCCAAGTATGTTACAGTATAAATTGTGTGTCCCTGAGGTCGTGAGCATTGATAGAGGCAGTGATGTCACTACAGGAATTGCCTTTTGGGGACGAGAGGCCTCCTTCCTCCTGTGCTCATGATCATAAGACCCCTGACCTGCTGAAACTCCCATTCCTGCCCTGACCCTGCCATGGGCACCAGGCTCTTCTGCTGAGTGACCCTCTGTCTCCTGGGGGCAGGTGAGTCCTCAGAAAACTAAGCAGTTTCAGTGTGTGTGTAACGGTTACCATTTTCTTCCTCTTTACGGTTCCCTACTTCTGTCCTCACAGGTGACACAGGTGCTGGAGTCTCCCAGTCCCCCAGGCACAGGGTCTCAGAGAGGGGCCAGGCAGTAGCTCTTAGGTGTGATCCTATTTCTGGTCATGTTTCCCTTTATTGGTGCCGACAGACCCTGGGACAAGGCTCAGAGTTTTTGATTTACTTCCTGAACAAGAATGCACCAGACACACTAGGGATGACTAGTGAATGGTCCTCTGAAGAGAGGCCCGAGGATCCTACTCCACTCTGAAGATCCAGCCTGTGGGGTGGCGGGGACTTGGCATGTATCTTTGTGCCAGCGGCTCAGCCACAAGGTGGCAGTCTCTTCCTTCTTGTTCACAAACTTCATACTTCTCTCTTCTTACAGCTCCTCAAGACTCAATCCCCAATGAAAAGAAGTAGACGTGGACATCAGCTATCAGCTGTCCTTTGGGTGGAAAGAGACCATAGATTTACTCCTAAAATAATATGGATGTGAATGTTGGTAGATGGATAATGATGGCTCATTGGGTTCTAGGGGTCACAGAGCCAGTTCACCCCTCCAAGGCAAGGACTGAATGTCCTGGACATGAACAGTCTTCTGTAGGACTGTAAGGTCGCTGCGCACATACACGGCTTTGGCTCTGTGCAGTGACAACGTCTACTCTGCATTTGCTGTCAGCTTCTGGAATGTTTACCTCCTTCAGTCATATTCTTACTTCTAAAGCCTCTTCTACCCCTGTCATGTAAGTTTTCTGCCAACACTATCAAGCCCATCTTCCTGTTGGAAGTAAAGGCCTTTACTACTTCAGTGGCGGCTCATTGATCCATACAACATTGATAACCGTAAGACTCCATTTCCTCTCCTCATTTAAGCAAGCTATTTGCTCTATTTTGTTTTCATTTTCCCACTCTCCAGTCCTGAAAGCGTCACTAAACCATACTTTCACAACTTCTCCAGTTTCCTCTGGTTCCCTGAGTAAATCTGATTTCTAACAACTGAGTGTTTTATTTGGTGGCCTAGCCTTCCACATAAAATCATTTCCCTGAGGTCTTTAACTCAAGAAGATGGGATATTTTCTTTATAGTAATGACCCCATTCATTTTTATTTGCTATATTATATATTGTTACATATTATTTTTTATAAATAATTACATTGTGATAACATCTTACCCTGTCTGTGGGTGAACCTGCAGTTGGTATCTGTGAAATCTACAGCCGTGGGCGGAGCTGATACTACTGTGGATCACGGCTTCTGGGAGTCCTAGAGGTAAACCAATGCTCCAGGGCTGAGATTGAATGTCAGAGACTCAGGCATGATAGAGGAGCCCTGAGCCTTGCGTGGTTGGTAAGGAGAATGACAGTCTCCCCAAATCCACTTCTCAGAGACTGTGGTGGCTCAGGACTCCAGAGTTCTTTTCCCAGAGAATGAGTGGCCTTGGAAGGGAGTTTTACTGGTCTTATTTATTTTATTTTGAGGAAGATTAGCCCTGAGCTAACATCTGCTGCCAATCCTCCTCTTTTTGCTGAGGAACACTGGCCCGGAGCTAATATCCATGCCCATCTTCCTCTACTTCATATGTGGGACGCCTGCCACAGCATGGCTTGTCAAGCGGT